TTATAATTTTGGTAATTTTGAATTAAAATTTTAATGCAAGGACATTTTATGTATTTCTTTCCTCTCTTCAATCTCCGTCCTCCTATGCCACTGTGATATCTAAAAATATTGACTATGTTAAACAAAAGACACGGTGTGATACCCAAACGTATATAAGATGTATTGTGATACCACTATGTTACATCTCCGATCGACCACACAAACGACCTCAGTGTGATACGCAAGCACATATATGATGCATTGTGATACCATTGTGGTATCACCGAAGGACGGTGGTCGGAGAACGGAGAGAGTAGAGAGATGAGAGGAGAGTTTTAAAATATCTAAAATGTCGTTGCATTAAAATTTTAATTCAAAATTACCAAAATTATAAATTTCCTAATTTATCCGTTGATTTGTGGTTGAGATTTGACCTCACAGTTATCACAAACTAATCAGTTCTTATTTGATTAAGCCCATATATATATATATATATATATATATATACCATTTGAGACAAGACCGTTCATCATAATTAAACAAGACACAGATTAGTGATATAGTATTGAAAAGGCAAGCATAATTATAAAATGATACCTTTATTGATTAAACAATCTTGAATACATTCATCGCTGAGACAATTTGAGCATATATCAGGAGCAAAGATGAGATTGAAATCTAAAGACTTGGAACATTTAATAGTAGAGAATTTGAAAGAGGGTTTAGGCATAACATAGACTTGGAACATTTAATAGTAGAGAATTTGAAAGAGGGTTTAGGCATAACATTTGATCTTAGGGTTTTTTTGTATGGAAGAACTGATGAAAAAACTCTGATTTTTAAATGAAAACTTCTTAACTTCTTTTATATGCGAATTCTTGAGTTGGATGACCGGCACGTTCCTTTCTTCTTGAGCAATAATTAGACTTGAAACCGGCACGTTCCTTTCTTCTTGAGCAATAATTAGACTTGAAACTGGCACGTTCCTTTCTTCAATAATTGAATTTGAAATCGATTGAGAGGCTACCGACATCTTGAATCTTCTTTTTGTCTTCATTGAATTCTTTTTTACCATAACATCTCTTCAAAACTTTATCATTTTTCAAAAATCGATTGAGAGGCTACCGACACCTTGAATCTCCTTTTCTTAAAGTCTTTTGTCTTTATTGACCATAACGTTTCTTTACTAATAAACAACTGATGAACAATGAATTACTTGCAATTATTTTGAATAGACAATGATTTGAACAAGATGTTATCGGAAATACCAAAGAGTRTATTTCACGTATTTTTGATAAGATATATTTTGAATAGATACAAAGGATTGCTTGCAAAAGCAATAACCCAAACACACACAACACTTTGAAGATCAAAAATCTTCATAAGGGTCTTGACT